TGCCTGTGTTCTCCTGGGTATGAGGAGGCATCCAGAGTGAACCACGAAAGTCCTGTTGTTGACTTAGCAAGAGCAACCTCTGAGAGACACCTGGCTTTGTAGTTTTAATAAAAAATGGTCCTAAGAATGAAAGCCCTGTTGAGTGGTGAGCTTGGCCATAGTTGTGCACTCACGTCTGAAGAGGGTGCAATTCCCAGAGACTAGTGTGACTGGGGGCCTGGAGGTGGGCAACACAGCCCTCCTGGAGGCAGAGACATCACTTACAGAGGTGAGAAGCTGGAGACTCAGAGAGATTAATAACTTTCCTAAGGTCACACAGCTAATATGTGCCAGAACTGGGATTTGAACGCAGATTTAGCCGTCAGTGGTTCAAGCTCACCAGCTGCTCTTCAGAAACCCTATACAGGGTCGCTATGGGTCAGACTCAGCTCAATGGTACTTAACAACCACCACCACAATTGGCATCAGCAGATCTCATAGCTGCAACAGTCTCACACGTTTTGGGGTTGACAAAAGTAAACCACTGTCTGACATCCCTGATCACTGTTTCGTGGAGTGCCCTGTGTAGGCAGCTAACCCTAACCTTTTCCCCAAAACATGCAAAATGCAAAGAGGCTATATTTTGGGGCATCCATTAAAATTAGTAAGTCCATCTCTTCTCTGTGGACTTGAATTAAAATACAACTCAGCTGCATGTCACAAGGCAGCAGTAATTACGGCTTGCTAACTGGGTGCCCTGAGCCATGAGGGCTGGCATTTCAGGCAGCAGCTGAGAGTGAGGGCTGGGATCAGCGAGGTTATATGAGCCTCAACATGCCTGCTAGGAATTTGAAGTTGGCACCACTGGAGTCTGAGGTGCCATTTGGCCTGTGTTGTTGTTGAGTGCCATCGAGGGGGTTCTGACTCACATAACCCTTGTGCAGGGTTTCCAAGAATCAGATGGTGGGTTTGAACCGCTGACTTTATGGTTTGCAGTCCAGTGCTTATCCTACAGTGGCACACTAGGAGGGAGTCTATTATTTGAAATGTGTAGCTTGTGTGGAGAAAACTCAGTCCAAAGGGAAGTCTGTCAGCCATACTGTGAGACAATCCCAAACAAGTGTCCAGGGGGCAGTACCTCTCCACCTGTGTGGGTGGCCTCATCTGTGGAGTCTGAGAGTGTTGAGGAGGGGAGTAGACTGAATAAATGTCAACTCGATATGCATTTCACTCCTATTCTCTACTTTGGTGGAATAGCCAGATTTACCAATCTTGTCTAAAGCATGCTAAATCCAAGAACCTGTGGTATGTTAAATTACAGAACCCTGTGAGTGTTTAGGAGCATGTCTTAATTAAGGAGATAGATCGCCATCCCTGGAAACTGCAAAAGTAGCAGATTTTCAAAACATTAACATAGCACTTTTTTTTTCTTCTAATGTTTCCTAGCAAACCACTCAGGATTCTTAACAATGTGGTCTAACCTTAAGAAATTATGTTTCACTGATGGTGCAACAACATTCCTGTGACCCCCTCTTTCTTTAGTCCAACGAGAAGCCATAGGAACTGCAGGCTCCTTTATTGTTCTTGCAATCATAGAATGTCTATGGTTTAACTACATACTTGGCGGGACCAGTGTGGTGGAGATGGAGTGGAAGGAAATGGCCGTGGTGGAACCTTTCACTACCCTGTGTGGGGCTGTGGGCAGCCGAGGGCATGCCCAGTCTTCAGGCCCTGAGGCTCTTCTTCTAGTGAGAACACCCCCTCCAGTTGGGGTCCTGACTCTGGCTTCACTTACATAGCTCTCTCCCCTCTGAGGTTTCTCTCTTGTTCTTTCTGCCTTTCACAACAAGGCCTGGGAGGCCCTGAAAATGCTGTGGCTGGGGTTAGAAAACTACAACTTGTGGACCAAATCTGACCTGATACCTATTTTTGTAAATAAAGTTTTATGGGAGCACAGCATGCCTTTCATTTAGGTATTATGTATGGCTGTGTTTGCCCAACAACAGTACATTTGAGTGGTTGTGACAACTGTGAGCCTGCAAAGCCAGGGCTTCACACCAATTCCAGCTTCAGTAATGGCAGACAAAGCAACACTAGAATGCAGATGAACTGGAATAATACCATAATAGGAAAAATTGTGGGCCAATGTCCTGCCTCAAACTTAATCTCCCTCTTAGTAAACAAGGACAGCATGTGTATTGCATAGCAACCAAATCTCTTGAGCAGCAGAGGCAGAAGCAACAGTGCCCTGCTAAAAGATGGCAGCTGATATGCCACTTTGAATATGTGTCCTCTCCACAGTCCTTGAAGGATTCTCTGGACAAATTATTCAATGATGCAAAAAGCATCAAAGAAGATGGAAGGATTAGCACTTTTAACACTTTAAAGTGGTCTTGTGCAGCACATTTGCCTAATGCAGTATGTCTTTTGATTTCGTTATTGCTGCTTCTATTAGTGTTTATTAAAGGATCCAAATAAAATGAAACAGTTGACAACTTGGAAAAAAAAAAAAGATGGAAGGAATACTTAGAGTTATTTGCACCAAAATCAAATGGTCGATGTAAAACCATTTCAAGAGGTAGCATATGATCAAGAGACAGTGATCCCGAAGGAAGATGTCCAAGGTATATTGAAGACATTGGCAAAGAACAAGACACCGGGAATTGATGGACTACAAATTGAAATCTTTCAACAAACTGAATACCAGAAAGATGTTTACCTGTGACTACATAAAAGCTTTTGATGGTATGGACCATGACAAGCTATGGACAATTGTGAAGTAAGAGTATTCTGGAACACTTAATTTGGCTCATGAGGAACCTGTACATAGACCAAGAGGCAGTTGTTCGAACAGAACAAGGGAACACCAAATGGTTTAAAATTAAACAAGGTAAAAACGTGGCATCAGGATTGGAGGAAGACTCATTAAAAACCTGCGATATGCAGATGACACAACCTTGCTTGCTGAAAGTTGACTTAAAGAGGACTTAAAACATTTACTGATGAAGATCAAAGACCACAGCCTTCAGTATGGGTTGCAACTCAGTGTAATGAAGACAAAAATCCTCATCACTGGTCCAATAAATAATATCCATATCAATGGAGAAAAGTTTGAAGTTGTCAAAGACTTCATTTTGCTCTGATCAACCATCAACACTCATGAAAGACGCAGTCAAGAAATCAAATGACGTATTGAATTAGGCAAATCTACTGCACAAGACCTCTTTAAAGTGTTGAAGAGCAAAGATATCAGTTTGAGGACTAAGTTGAACGTGACCCAAGCCATGGTATTTTCAGTGACCTCATATGCATGAGAAAGCTGGATGGTGAATAAGGAAGACTATATTAGAATTGATGCATTTGAATTATGATGTTGGAGAATATTAAAAGTACCATGGACTGCCAAAAGAACAAATAAATCTTTGTTGGAAGAAGTGCAGCCAGAGTGCTCCTTGGAAGCCAACATGGTCAGACTTCGTCTCTCATACTTCGGACATATTGTCAGGAGGGACCAGTCATTGAAAGGATATCAGGTAAGGTGGAAGGTCAGAGAAAAAGAGGAAGACCCCTAAATGAGATGGACTGACACAGTGGCAGCAGCAGTGGGCTCAGGCATAGCAATGATTATAAGATTGGCCCAGGATTGGAAAGTATTTCATTCCGTTGTGCACAGGGTCACTGTGAGTTGGTACAAACTCAATGGTACTTAACAACCACAGTCCTGCCAATAATCCAGGTTCCCACATCAGACTTCTGAAATGACTTACTTTGCCTTACCTAAGTCTCTCACTCCAGGACTTTACCCTGTAATTTTGCTGTACTAGCTATCATTCCAGTATATCCATATTGTACAGATTTGGGTCTGTCTCAATTTCAGTGTGTTGGCTCTGACTGAACTGGTTCAAACCAATTTGAAGGCCTGTGCAAAGCCTAAAATATTTATAGAAAAAAATGTATTGACTTCTGGTCTAAAAGGGAATGATTACAGTTACTCTCTATTCTCAAATTAGATGAGAAACTGAGGGCCAAGAACTTCGTTTGGATGGTGGAGCTGGGTCTTCTGTTGAGGTCATCTCCCTCCACCGCCTAAGACCTGGGTGCAAGCCCAGCTCTCACACTGACTGCATGATTTGGACTTCTTGAGCCTCTTGTGGCTTCTCCGTTACTTGGGGGGAAGGTTGCAGGTCAGTCTCTCTGGGAGCAAGTCTGAGGTAGAGATTTTTAGCGACAGTGCCCTGGGAACATCTGTTGGAGGAAGTGTGGGTCATCTTCCTGTGGAGAGAAGCTCAGTTATGGGCATTGAGGAAGGGCAGGCCTATGTCCCGGCTCCCACTGTAGTCCTCCAAGTGATCGGGCTTTAGAACCCCCTTTGCTATGGGGTCGATTAAAAGCGGCGTACCTAGCTGCAGAGTCCTGAGGCCACACTACAGTGAAGCGATGGGTGGCACTGAGGAGGCTTGTGGTATCTCTTAAAGCACAGGCTGTATGCCTAATAAGTCCATCGCCAGGATCTCAGTCTGGATTGTCCTCTAAAGCGTTGCTACAGATGAGATCAGTGGCACTCAGATAGTCTTTCACAGTCAGGCACTTGTGTTGATCAGTTTACTGATGACAGATGAACGGTCCATTGGCTGCTTAATTACAGTGACATCATCAGGGACCTCATCAGGGTCAACAGGCTTAGTGAATTCTCAGAATTGCTTGTCAATGACAAGCCTATGTGTAACGTTTCTTAAGAAAATGCTCACTTCTCTAAATGTATCTTGTTCTTCTAGCCATTTCACTTCTTCTTTAGTTAATGGCCTTGGCTCAGGTGGTGGTGCTGTTGGAAGTACCTCCAAGGCCTGTAAAACTGTGTGTGGGGCTCTGATGTCACTATGGTCTCTGTACTGTTTACTCAAGGACTTCTGGGAATTCTTGCTGAGAGATGAGACTCAGGTGTGGATGCACACAGGCTGCCAGGTGATGCTCTGGGTTCATGGAGGCTGTGTTTATTTATGCCCTTCTTCTCTGATTTCTAGTTTCATTGGCGATTCTCCAGAGAAGAAATGCACAACAGGCAGATGAGGAAATCCAAAGGTAAACTCAGCGTCAGAGGCAAACGACAGGCAGAAGAGAATGAGAAGGACTTAGATGACCAGTTCTTCAAATCTGGAGTCATGGGAAACTGTGTGCTGGGTCAACATCAGGAGGACGGGGTCCAAGGAGAAGACGAAGAGGTGGCCTCCCAGGAGATGGAAGACAAGTTGTGCCCTGATGATGGGAATGGGTGTAGGGGTGTGGGGGACACCATGCAGAATGGCCCTGCTGCCCCAAGCAGGGCCCAGGAGGGCTGCACTGGGCCATCTGATCCGGGAGAGCATGTCAGGGACGGCAGTCCTGAGGACATCTCTGGAGAACCCGCCACACCAGAAGACAACTGAGCCTCAGGCAGTTCGCCCTGAAGCCAGAAGCTGCAAACCTAAGGAACATTGCTGGGAGCCAGCACTGGGTGGGTTTGCCGTGGCATTGTGTGTTATCCTTTGGCTTGGCTTGACTTCTCCTTGTGAGTCTACCCGGCCCTCCAGGGGTTGGGTGGGTCCTGACACATCCATTTGAAATGTGCCCTATGCCCTAGTGGTAGAAGGAGATGGGCCCTGCACCTGTACCTCAGCCAGCGGGAGACCTAGCCTTGGCTCCACCTCCTTCATCTGGCGGATCTGAACCATCCAGTGCCTGTGTCTACCCTGCAGGGCCTCCAGGGAACATTCGGGCCAAATCCGTGGTCCTCCCTAGCTACAAACCGAGTCTGTTGTCCTCTCCCACACCCTGATGAGGGCCCCTGCTGCTTTTGGCAGCTCCTTGGTGAATTTTAAGACCTGGAGAGCCTGGTCAGTCACCCCCTCCACTAGACCCTCAGATTCTGCTGCTTTGGCAAAGAAAAAGACACTGGGAGGGGAGGTGCCCTGCCTCCTGGCTTTCCTTAAAGTATTCCCATGTTGGTAATCTGTTGGTAATCTGGAAATGAAGAGGTAATTCTGCTTGCCTGCCTGCTCTTGCAGATTGCCCAAGAAAGTATTCTGTGTTAGTATTAATGCCAAAAAAATTTAAAGGTTTTGTATTCAGCACATCTTATGAACACGCGTTCCTTCCTGTCATTTCAGGGCATCCCTATTGGGTGGGGTACCCTTGTTGTGTGCTATTTTAATCAGTGTATCATTGGCCAAGTTGTTACCATGTATGCTGTGTCTGATTATCAAGTGTTTATATTGTCCAGAAAGTATTTTCGGGCTTTAAGTAGATGCAACAGGTGAAACTTGGAGAGATACTGCAGATTGTCTTGACCAAAAACAATAGCCTGTCTCTTCTCTTTGTTATTTAGTTACTTAAAGCAATAAATCATCTATGAGTTAGTGCATTTTGTGTATTGATTATTTCTCTAGTCTCACACACACAAAAACACCCCACAAAACTCCCAGTCTAATGTTCCAAGGTTTCAGCATTCACTTTTTAAAAAATCTTAAATACTTTTGTCTTTTAACAGCTTTATATTTTTACAGAAACACTGAGAAGCTGGAGTTCTCATCTGCCCTGCACCCAGTTTCCCCTGTTATTAACATGTTACATTGTTGTTGTTGTTGTCAGGTGTCATAGAGTCGGAACCGACTCATAGCAACCCCATGCACAGCAGAACGAAACAATGTCCGATCCTGGGCCAACCTCACTACCACTGCCACACATGTTACATGAGTGTGGCACATTTGCTACAACTCATGAACCAATACCAATCCAGTGTTGTGGTTGGTAAGTGCTGTCGAGTTGGTTTCGACTCATAGCAACCCATATAGGATTTCCAAGGAGCAGCTAATGGGTTTGAACCACCAACCTTGCAGTTAGCAGTCCGGTGCTAATTCTATAGCACCCCACCAGGACTCCATCAATACATTACTATTAACTAAGGTCCATACTTTATTCAGATCTCCTTAGTTTTTACCTAATGTCCTTTTCTGATCCATGATTCCATCCAGGAAAACACATTCCATTTATCTGTTGTATTAATTTCTTATTGCTGCTATCACAAATTACTACAAACCTAGTTTGGAGTCCTGATATGGCGCTGTAGGATAAACACTAGTCTGCGAACGACAAGGTCTGCAGTTCAAACTCACCAGCTGCTCCTCAAAAACCCTATACAGCAGGGGTGGGAAACATCCAGCCCACGGGCCGTATAAGTCCCATGAAATCATTTGGTCCTGCCACGGCAACCACAGTTCCAACCATCACATTGTTGTTGTTAGGTGCCATCGAGTCGGTACCGACTCAGCAACCCTATGCACAGCAGAACAAAACTCTGCCCGATCCTCGGCCAACCTCACTATTGTTGCCACGCTTGAGTCCATAGATCCTGCCACTTGGCCAATCCATCTCATTGGGGGTCTTCTTTTTCTCTGACCCTCCA